GCCAGGCCCCAGCACCCCCGAGATCGACCTGGCCGAGTCGCTGGTGGCCGACAACTGCGTGACGCTGGCCTGGCGGCTGCCCGACGAGGACAGCAAGATCGACCACTACGTGCTCGAGTACCGCAAGACCAACTTCGAGGGGCCGCCCCGCGCCAAGGAGGACCAGCCCTGGATGGTGATCGAGGGCATCAAGGGCACCGAGTACACCCTGTCTGGTGAGGGCACGGTGAGCCGGGGTGTCCCCGTGGGGGTGGCAGTGCCAGGCTTTGCGGAGGGCCTGGGGGTCCTGGTGTCCCCCTGGCCACCCTGCTGTCCCCGCAGGGCTGAAGTTTGACATGAAATACATGAATTTCCGGGTACGGGCGTGTAACAAGGCCGTAGCGGGCGAGTTCTCCGAGCCGGTCACTTTGGAGACCAGAGGTGGGGAGCAGGGGGTGCCGTGGGGCTCTAGGGGGTGACAGGGTGCTCGTCCGGACGCCCCGTGCCCCCCCATGTCCCACCATGGGGACACGGGTGAGGCGCTGACGGTGGCCGTCCCCAGCGTTCATGTTCCGGCTGGACGCCAGCACGTGCCACCAGAACCTGCGCGTGGAGGAGCTCAGCGTGGAGTGGGACGCCACGGGCGGCAAGGTGCAGGACGTCAAGGCCCGCGAGAAGGACGGCAAGGGCAGGACGGCCTCGCCGGCCAACTCGCCCGCCAGGTAACGCCACCCCCAGGTAATGCCACCCCCCGCACCGGCAATGTCACCCGCCCCGGGTGCTGCCACCCGTCCCTGCGTGGTGCCACCCCCGCCTCACCGGTGTCTGTGTGTGCCAGGGCCGTGCAGTCGCCCAAGAGGATGCCCTCGGGGCGCGGGGGCAGAGACCGCTTCACTGCCGAGTCCTACACGGTGCTGGGTGAGCGCTGGGCACTGAGGGTGACGAGGGGACCTTGGGGACACGGAGGTGTAGGGAGGGGACACGGGAGCACAAAGGAGACGACCTGGTGGCACAGAGGGGCAGGGTGGCACGAGAGGGAGGCGCCATGGGGCACCCAGAGGATGCGGGAAGGGGCTCCCAGGTTGGTGGCAGCGGCGCAGAGTCCCCAGCCCGCGCCAGCGCCCGCCGCCCGCAGGGGACACGCTCATCGACGCCGACGACCACTACTGGGAGGTGCGGTACGACCGCGACAGCAAGGCCTTCGGCGTCGGCGTCGCCTACCGCAGCCTGGGCAAGTTCGACCAGCTGGGCAAGACCTCGGCCTCCTGGTGCCTCCACCTCAACAACTGGCTCCAGGTGAGCTTCAGCGCCAAGCACGCCAACAAGGCCAAGGTGCTGGACGTGCCCGTGCCCGACTGCATCGGCGTCTACTGCAACTTCCACGAAGGTGGGTGCCGGGGTGGCCGCAGGGCTCGGGTGTCGGTGCCGGCGGCGGGCGCAGCGCCGCGGAGCTGAGGGCGCTGCCCGTGCCCGCAGGGTTCCTGTCCTTCTACAACGCCAGGACCAAGCAGCTGCTGCACACGATCAAGGCCAAGTTCACGCA